TCGTTTTCTTGTACTTCGAAACAACTTTTCGCCATACATTTCCTTTTAGCGACTAGCAATGTTTGCCCCCTGACGATCCCAGAGTTCTTCGCGCGAACACGGGTATCCGATTACTGGCAACTCATTCATTAGCTTCTATTTAGACCTGAAAAAGGTCTAGAGCAGGGGCTGGAAACTCATTCATCAGCTCGGTCCATTTCTCAGCTGGAGAGCAGCACCAGTAGTGTTTTTCACACCCTAGATCTCATGATCAGCTGACACTTAAAACAACGCGTCATCTCTCAGCTATCGGCAAAATGTTAAGCAATTCTCGGATATCATGCAGTTAAACTTAATTCACGCCCTTCTAAATGTTGTCTTTACATGTTGAGCTCAGGATAGTACCATATCCTCACTGCATATCCATTGCCTCACGGTATAAGGTTAAGTTATGAGAAGAGTCCGCGACTGATGAGGCAATAGACATGCAACGAAGATATGAGCAGATAGGAGCTTGGTCAACCGCCAACAGGGGAGGTGGGCAGGTCGCAAAAAACGACTGTCTTTGTGGAGTACGGGACGAAAAGATCACACTTCAAGCGGAGAGACCAAATTTAAACTCCAAATGGCACAAAGCATTACCGACGCTACCAGCACGGGCGAAAACGGGGGAATGTGATGGAATAAGAGCATGTTTTGCAATGAGCTGATTAATTATGCAGTGAAAATAGTTTCAACATCGATAGGCACATCGAATGGATCTAGAGTTAACTGGAATTCTTTAGTAAAATATGAATTGGTTTCACATTTAACGTTGTTCTTGGCGTCACTGTCGTGATGTGCGTAGCGTAAACATTGAGCTGTCTAAACTTTTTGATGTAAACCCACAAAAGTCGGATAAAGACAGTGTTGATTCCGAGGTGTGACTGAACCAAGATTGGTTGTCTTGATAACTGTAATGTATACCTATGTGCCCTTTGCAGAAAATAACAAGTTTTTATCCAAATTTCAACCAGTTTCTTGGCTTATTCGTAAAATGTTTATGTAGGCTCCTATAAACCTGAATGTTATCCCGAGAGAGAGTTCTTTAAAACATATATATGCAGTCTTCTGAAAGTCACGTTTCAATTTCACTCAAAAAAGTGGGTTTTTTGCCGTGCTATCAAATGCCGCTAATCTATTGAGTTAAGGCGCCGCAGTTTTCTCATCTTTATGTATCAGCCAATTTCAAGCTGACAAAAAAGCTGATGCCACATATTAGCCTTGTCAGATACGTGACCTGGGGGTTGACATTTGTTTCATGAATAATGTTTTAACTTCATAAGCAAAGTCAGTTAGTGTTTGTCGCTCCTTTTCGCCAGCATCACCTGTTTCCTAATTTAGTTTTATCGTAGAGCGTAATAATAAGAACTCTGTGTTACTTGGTTGTTACTTTGGAGACTATATTTCACAAAGCCATTCTCTGTTTGTGACAATTTTCAGGTGAATGCGTAAAATGCTGTTTTTTCCTCGCCATATCACAGTGATATCATTTGTTTTGGTGCTTTACGCAGGCCTTTGGAAAAACATCGCCGGCCAGATTAGAGGTAATTCATTTTACATGTTTTAGAACGCTTATACATGAATGCTCTTGATACTAGTTAACAGTCAGCATTGCCATGGCTGAGTACAAGTATATCTCCCCTTTAAACTTGTTCACTGTTCATTGCGCTTTCAAAAGTACTTCCACCAGCTGAAGAGAATCATCTAGATTAATTTCGTCAACAATGAAGTAAGCTGACAAGAGTCCATGTACTTGCCATGCAAGTTCGAGCATTTTTAGCAAGGGCATATTTGTTTTTTTAATCAACCCATAACCTAATCAACCCGTTGCTTTCAGATGGAGCAGCCAACGTAAGCCAGGCGAGTTCAATAGATTTCACTACAGTTTCTTCTCCTATCGGACCTACTCCTGATTCTTTCTTCCTTCGTTCTCTGCTCCGGAACTGTAGCCTAGATATGGCCCAAGTCACGGGTATGTAGTTGATGTATTTCAATTTCAAAAATTTAGGCTGGACTAAAAGATAGTGAAGTGTGATAATGCAAGCCTTGCTTCTTCCCACATTTTCCCCCACATTTTTGTGAGCGGACACTCCGAAATGGTCACAGCTACATACAAAACACTCGGACATATTTTCCTTTGGGTCAAAGAATGTCTACTTACGAGAGATTCTATTTCCGAGTCACTATAGTTTGCGGATCTGTCAAGAGTCCAAATACCGCGCTAAGCGATTCCGAAACAAGAATTCTAACCTCTACACGCCGTACCAAAAAAAAAAAACCCAAAAAAACCCGCCAATTTATTTTTTTTAATCAGAGTTCCTTTTATGATTAACCTTCTACCAGTAATACGCAATTTAATAATTCAAACAGGTTTAAGATAAGTTAACAAGCATGTTTTTCTGAAACCAAAATAGCGTTTCTGATCTTGAGCTAGCAATCTTTACCATATTTGACTTCAATTCATGACTATTATATTGCATCGGTCCGTATCTTTATATACCTTAGATTTTTCTTTGTTCTGTTTTTTCAAACTTCCCAGGATCACAGTGGGAAGATCAAATGCGCCTTTTTCTTCAACGCAGTTTTATGGCAGCTGACTCGCGCTACAGCTGTAGCGCTCGGTGTGGACTGGACCAAAGAAATGCATCACTGTCGGATGGTGCAGTTTTTATACCTTTATGTTATTGTGACGAGCTTTGCGATGACTTTGGTGACTGTTGCTTTGACTTCGATAAATTGTAAGTGTTTAAATTTTAAAATATAGCCGGTAATTCTTGATACTTTCAGAGTATTTGCGGTTAGTTACCAGCGATTAAACACAATGGGGTCATCCCTGGATTGAAACCCTATTCCCTGCGTGCGTTAATTATAACTTGTACATATTTTGAGTAATAGCTCATTAAATGCGTGTTCGCATTTCTTTATGCAAACACGAGTTAAAGTTTGGAAGAATTTCAAAGTTTATGCAAAATCTCCAAACCTTTTCAATCGTGTTCGCATACTGGCACTATTTTCTTTCAGGGAGTATTGTATTTCACGTGAAGTGGGCTGGTTTGGTCAGAACGTCAGGCGGTTTCTTGCTCAAGCTTTTCCTAGCTCCCCAAGAGAATGTAATGATCTTAAATATGAAATTGCTCAACTGGAAGTTTATGTCCCTATTAAGGAGTGATGAGGAATTGTCGCTGGAGTGTGCGGAAATCACGGAAGAATTGAGAAGCAAGGAACGCCCGCACCTCGATTTCCCTCCTTTAAGACTCTCTAAAAATCAATAACTATATCCAAAAAAGTACGTATCAAAACTTCAATGTGCGGATCTCATTGTATTTGCAGATGTCGAAAAAATCTTAGTCCTCAGAGCAGCAACCGTTCTACGAGTGAAATATGCTTTGGTGTAAAACATGATGAAGTTTCAGCGTACCATGGTTACGTAATTTGGAATACCTGCCCAAAAAACTGGAAAGAAAGAAGCGTGCTGCAGAAATGCCAGGATGAAGATGAAAGTGATCTTTTAAGGAATTTACCAGTTTTTGACGAAGATAGTCACGTGACTTACAAAAATATATTCTGTGCGAGGTGCAATGCTGCACTAAATACGACATACTGGAAGATTATATTTGATTGTGAGGAATGGTTTAATGTTACAACTTTTAATTTTACCAGTGATCTGGGCCTTTTACAGCGGAGATGTTCAATTGATAAAAGGCCGAAAAATAACCAGCTTAGCTATTTGAATCGATGCATTCCACGGTTTATGGACTGCCATAAAATAAGCCAAGATAACAACGACAGTTATTGCCAAGCCGAGTGCTTGAGGTACGCGTTCCCAGTCTGTGTCAGGGGTCCAGAAATGCTACGATTTAGAAACCCACAGTGTGCCTTGTGCAATGGGTTTAACACGAGTGTTATGGAAAGCATTTGCGGAAGGGTCAGCGGGATATTGCCTCCTCTCACCATCTTTTTTGATTTTACTTCAACGTCTAAGTACAGTATTGTGATAAGAGACAGCGTTAAATACGCGGTTCAACAAATTGAACAACTTTGGTCCTGCTCGTTTGATGAGGTGTTCGATCCATACACTGGCAGATGCACAAAGATAGTTCCAACTGTACCGCAAACAGATCCTGACCAAAGAGGACGAAACGAAACCGAGCAATGGAATCCAAACTGTACAACTGTAATAGCGTTCAATGAGTCAGACTACGAACGTCTATCTAATGGAAGCATGTATTTGAAACTACATGACAAGATATACAGCAACAACACTTTCACGATACGTGGAAAAAGATTATTGCTGTGTGCCAATTTTTCAAGAAACTTCACTGCAACAGAAAGAGGACCCGGTATGCGGCGTAAAGTAATCAAAACGCGAGCATCTAGATCTCTCCAGCTTCTCACATCAATCGGATGCATATTGTCAATGATTTCTCTTATTCTCCTGCTGATTACGTATATTTTATTTGCTGAACTCCGCAACTTACCTGGGAAGATCATAATCAACTTGGCGATTTCCCTGTTGCTGTACCAAAGTGTCTACTTTTCAGCGGTTAAAAATGACGACCCAGACACTTGCTTGGTAGTTGCAGTTCTTCTTCATTTCTTTATTCTGTCCTCTTTCACATGGATGAATGTCATGGCTTATGATGTGCATCGCACTTTCGTTAACGCTGCAGGTTAGAATAGCTCTAAAGCAGGCGTCATTCAGCTCCTGCATACGGTACAGGGGACAGGCGTTTTAGGAAACGGCCGAAGCTGTTGCACTTTAGAGTGCCAGCTCGCAACTTAGGCGAATGTGGTTTTTACCACAATTGCTACTAATCTCGCAATCTGATTGGCTAATTTGCCGTTGTCGATAAGAGTCCAGACNTTCAGCGGTTAAAAATGACGACCCAGACACTTGCTTGGTAGTTGCAGTTCTTCTTCATTTCTTTATTCTGTCCTCTTTCACATGGATGAATGTCATGGCTTATGATGTGCATCGCACTTTTACTAACGCTGCAGGTTAGAATAGCTCTAAAGCAGGCGTCATTCAGCTCCTGCATACGGTACAGGGGAAAGGCGTTTTAGGAAACGGCCGAAGCTGTTGCACTTTAGAGTGCCAGCTCGCAACTTAGTCGAATGTGGTTTTTACCAAAATTGCTACTAATCTCGCAATCTGACTGGCTAATTTGCCGTTGTCGATAAGAGTCCAGACAACGCTGCACGCGTCATGTGTCACGCAATGCCTTTTTCAGCTCGCGCTCTGAAAAATACATTTTCTTTGACGCTGATATTGTGGTAAAAACAAATCGAAATGTGGTTTAGCGTGGTCTGTACTCTTATCGACAATATCAACGTCAAAGAGAATCTTTTTTTCAGAGCGTGACCACGATCGTGACACAAAGAAAGAGCAAGCGTTGCAAATCTTCAAGCAGAATTATAATGACTTTGAGCCAAAACATACACATTGACATTTGGAACGGTGCAGCCATGGAAGAAGCCATTTGGGAAGGCCAAAGCACTGGAGTTTGAGGTAGAGTACGAAATCGAACTCGAAGCTGGCGTCACTGGAACATGAAAAACTGCTGAACTCGCTTCTTTACTAACTAGAACGTTTGAGAGGATGTTGGAGCAGTTCTTCAACTGTTTTACAGATGGTCTGGAGTTATAACTTGATATGCTTTGCTCGTTAGCATGGCCCGAGATGGACATGATGTGGCCTGAAGGGACGTTGGCGTTTGACTATAGTGTGATGGCGGTTGCTCGCACAGTGGTTAGTGTACGTCTGGGACAGTCCAGCGCCAAGGTAGATTTCCTTCATCGTTGTTGCTAGCGTATTCACTCCGAGAGGGCTGTTCACGTACCAGATCATATCCGATTCTTTGGCTTTCGGCGACGGTCGTTAGAAAAAGGCTGGCTGTTGCGGGTTGAGTTTCCGTAAAAGGCATCGCGTGACACATTGACGAGAGCAGCGTTGTCTAGACTCTTATCGACAACGGTAAATTAACCAATGAGATTGCGAGATTGGTAGGAATTGTGGTAAAATAAGCGTTGTCGCTCCTGACAACAAGAAAACAAACGACACAAACAATGACAGAGCACAGCTGCCTGTTGATCTATAGACGAATCAATAGTGACTATTACGTCAATCGATGTCATTGGTGCATTAAGTCATAATTATATTTAGCAGTTCATTCAAATAAAAATATTTCCATCAAAAGTTAGAAGGAGTGTCGTGACCAACTGTTGGTACGTATAAATTACCACTGTCGTATTCTTAAACGTTTATCAGATTTATTGTAAGTTGCTTATCGCAGTTTTCGAACTCAAGTGTAATGCTTTGTGTGGTCAACCATCTAATTTGTTTGAATGACTTGTTAAATGACTTGACATTCCACCGATGGAAATTACTAATTATTCCTTTTGAAAGTGCTTAGAATCACTTAAGTTGCAAAAACAAGGTTTAAAGGAATTTAAAAATTTAAAAGTGTTTAACATTAAAAGCAGTTTTAATCATTTGATCAAAGTACTACGCACTATTGGACATTCTTATTCCTTGTGTTCGCTATGTTCATTTAAGCAGAACAAATACATA